GGTGGCCGGGAGCGGCCACTGCACTTCAGTCTGGGCGACAGAGTGAGATTTCAACTCAAAAAAAAAAAAAAAAAAATTAAAAAAAAAAAAAAAAGAATCATAAAGCAGTACTTCCCAAATGATAGAACACCAGTTCTTTAGGATGTTAACTGGTATTTAAAGGACAATTGGTTTCTTGGTTAAAAAAATTTGGCAAACACTGAACTAAACAAAGTTAATAGGTTTCTTGTGAATTTCCAAGAGGAAGAATTCATTTTTCTCTGCAAGAATATTTTACACATATCATCTATTCACTCATTTGTTCATTCATTTCTGTATAGCAGGCTGCAAAATTCACTTTCAAATTACTGCTTTTCCTTTTCTTTTTTTGAGTTGGAGTCTCACTCTTGCTGCCCAGGTTGGAGTACAGTGGCATGCTCATGACCACTGCAGCCTTGATCTGCTGAGCTCAGATAATCCTTCTGCCTCAGCCTTCCAAGTAGCTGGAACTACAGACGCACACCACCACGCCCGGCTACAAATTACTGCTTCTATCTGACTGGATTTTAGGACATGAGCTCCGAAATGTGTGAGGGGGAAAATGGCAAAGGAGAAAAGAGATGTAATTGGATGGTCTGCTAATATGTATTGTTTTATAAATCAGGGACTGCCTATAACACTTTCTTTGAAGTGAAATAATTATATACTAATAGTATCACAGCCAATATTTATTGAGCATTTACTATGTGCCAGGCATCAGACTAAGTACTTGGTATTCATTCTCTCATCTAATTCTGAAAACAATCCTATGCAGGAGAAATTATGACCACCATTTCTACAGATGAGGAAAATGAGCATTGATAATTCTCACCTAGTCACACATTTAGCAAATAGAAAGAGCTGCAAGCTGAACTAGCTCAACCTTATTTCCAGGACTCACACTCCCTAACACTGTATTGTGTGATTCCATTTTTCCTTACAATATTTTACCTTTTTTTTTTTTTGAGTTGGAGTCTTACTCTGTCACCCAGACTGGAGTGCAGTGGCCACTCCTGGCC